TTGTGTAAATTTTCTATTAATGATATTAAATTTTCCTAAGAAAAGCATCAAAATAATACATTAAATTTAACAATTAATACAATCAACAGAAAATCTTGTAATTTCCAAATTGTTTCTTGCATTATATTTATTACTTGTTTTAATATATTTTGATAATTTCTTTATATAGGTAGAACATATGTATTATAAAAATTACAATAAAAAATTAAGTACGATATTTATTTTCATTATAAGATTTGAAGCCATATTTTATGATAAATCTTTTTTTTTATAGATGTCAAAAATTGCCGTTATATTACAAATATAATAGCAAATATAATTTAAAAAATAAATATATTTCATCACTAATGTAATCCAATTTCTCTTTAATAAAACTTTCATATCGTAAAAAAATTTATATTTTGTTAAATACGTTTCTAATACGTAAAACACAACCTTGTTTCAATAGCAACAAGAATATTATTTCGTACATATATTTAAAAAAGATAATTTTAAAACAATATTTAAAAGCAACATTCAAATATTTCATAAGTTAATAACAATGTAATTTATTCCATTCTTCTAAAAGTCATTAAGATATTATGAACACAATGACAAGAGGTACTTACTTTATAATAAAATATTATAATTCTTGCTATAATATATCAAAATTGCATCAAGTAACACCAACACGAACTGTTAATGGACATGTTACACAGTACTGATGGGTGTTCACAAGTACAAGAACTAATAAAATTTGACATTAGATTTTGTTTAAATACTTCAAAATACTAACTACATTAATCCATTTTTGAAAAACTAAAATATACAAAACTTTCACATTTAATTCCACATTTAATTCTAGTTTAACAAAAATCTTGTATAACGTTACGTTACAAAACCACTAACAAAGTAACAATAAAGATAGATAATCAAATATCACTATACTTTTTTGAAACTACCAACAGTAGCCATAATGATACATTATGATCTGAAATTGACTAGCAAAAGTGAAGTGAGTTTTTCCTTCTCTAACCTATGTTCATATGCTTTACATAGAAGGCGAACCTCCCTTACTATTATTTTTAAACATATATTTTCAAATTTATAGAATGTTGAGCAACGTACAAAATTCGTTTTGTTGAAATTATAAATAAAAATGAACTCGATGAAAAAGATTATAAAATAATTACTTTCATGTATGAATTAATCTTGTTAATCATTAATAATTTTAATAATTATTAGTTATATAGAATTATATAGAGTTACCAAATGCTGTTAGCAATGTTTCTTTTGTAATAAACATTTTACTTTCATTTTATCAATATGATATCAAACTTGTGAACTTTCATTGTAAATATAGTAATAAGACATCTCTGTCACTGGTTTGAATCTCATTGGAGAAATTCTTCCAATAGTTTTCTTAATTGTTATTTATAATGTTTAAATTCTTTTTAAAATTAATTTAAATATCGTTAAATAGAAATATGTCTCGCAAGCTATTAATTACTCGTATCCAAAATTAAATATATCAAAAATATATTCAATACCGTTTGAAACATATTTGAAAGCCCTTCTGGACACATTTTTAATTAAAAACAAATTGTCACTCACCATTGCATGTTGAATTCAAGGAACTGTTGTAGCTATTTAAAGGAATGCATTTAAAATAACTTTTGGAAGTTTATTTTTCTACTACTAAAAAGGAAATGTTGTTACGTTGCTATTCACGATTGAATGTCGAGTCCAACAAAGACGCCATGCTACATAATTTGTGCTGCGCGCGAAAATCAAAATATCTATTTTCAAATCCAAGAAAAACTAGATAAATCTAAATGCTTATCACTGATCAAAATGGCCATTATGGTATCACTCCAGTAAAGCAGCAAAGTTATTGTTATGAGTAATCCATTCATTTGTTACATTTTGAGACAAATTCTTGATTTTGAAGATTTCCCTTTAATTTAATTTTCTTCTATGTCATTAACATAGATATAATTTAATTTAATTTCTTTTACATCAAACTTTTCTTTTCATAAATCGTCAAATCAAAGTTAAAAAAAAA